GGGGCATGGCCAGCAGGTCAAGGGAGGTGATTCTTCCCCTCTACTCTGCTCTCGTGAGACCCCAGTTGGAGTATTGTGCGAAGTTCTGGTGTCCTCAGCGCAAGAGGGACAAGGAACCTGCTCGAGTGAGTCCAGAGAAGGGCTGTGAAGATGATCAGAGGGCGGGAGCATGTAGTGACAGGACAGGGGGTAATGGCTTCAGACTGAAAAAGGGTAGGTTTAGATTAGACATTAGGAAGAAGTTCTTCAATATGATGCTGGTGAGACGCTGGCACAGGTTGCCCAGAGAAGCTGAGGCTGCCCCATCCCTGGCAGCGTTCAAGGCCAGTTCGGGCGTGGCTTTGAGCAACCTGCTCTAGTGGAAGGTGTCCCTGCCTATGGCAGGGGGTTTGGAACTAGATGATCTTTAAGGACCCTTCCAACCCAAACCATTCTATGAGTCTATGATTCTGTGATCATTGGAGAACATTTGTCCATCTCAGTTGGGTTTTCTGCCACTTAAGAATGGCCCAGGGCAACTCAAACACATCACCGACGTGCCATTATCTCCCTGCATTGTCTCCTTGTTGTTCCTGGCTTTTTTATCTTTTCTGTTCTGAAGCATCAAAGTTACTATGGAAACAAGAAATGGCATTTATGTAGGTACTCATGAGCCCCACCTGTACAGGCCCTGCGAAGTGAGTCTTGATCCATGGTGTGTCCTCCATCTGGTGGAGCACATCCATGCAGAAGGAAGCCCTGCAGCAGGGTCATGGGCAGAATGAGGCTTTACTGTGCACCACCCTGGAGAGGGTGTTTACGAACAGGGAAGGAGACTTGTAATTGCTCCTGCCATTGCTGAGAGGCAGGGACTCAGCAGCTTTCCCACAGCCTGAGTTGCTCATGGGACAAGTATTTTGGCCACAGTACAGTGATACTCCTTCCCCACACTGTGGGGAAGAGTGGGAATCAGAGCTCCAGCACCACATCGATGTCTTTAAGGCCAGTATGGTATGGAAAGAATTTTGTGTATTTTGGCATGAGGACGCAGGGTCTATTTAATTTAAATTTGCCTTAATTTTTAAGACTTGCTGCCTGTTCTTGTCAAGAGGATAGACATCAGTAATAATAGAACCATAGGACAAATCTGCAGACACTTGTGCAATGTTGGAAAATTAAAACCTGAGTGGCAGACAAAGCATTAAATAGATCTTTGTGGGAGTTACATTCTTCAATTCTCCTCCCCATCCCTCCGGGAGCAGGAGGAGGAAGAAGGGGGGTAGTGAGCAAGCGGCTGCGTGGTTCTGAGTTACCGGCTGGACTTAAACCACAACACGTAGGCACTGCCCCCCAGAAAAGCTTATCAGTTTATTTTGAAAACATCAGGTATGTGTTCTAACCACAGGCTAGCTTTCCACAGGATGAAAACATCTCCTATGAACCCGTAACTAAAAATGACTATTTAGCAGAAAGTGTTACTGGCAACTGCTGCAGACACAATAGTAGATATGATGGATCATTGTCCACACCTGACTGTTTCTCATAGCTCTTAGTCCCACAAATATACCACTGAGCTAAAAAGGATGGATTTACAATGACTTTTGAAATTTTCATTGAGTATGATTCCACTGTTGTGTTTCCTTGTACTACAGCTGTGCCAGTACCAAGTATGAAAACAGGAACTGTCAGAAGACAGGGAGGGCATTACTTTCTTTTCTGCAGAGACATGCAGACCCACAGCTGATTTCGCAGTTCATCTTGAAAACACTTCAGAATTTTTTATTCTTGTCCCTCTGGCCTCGCATCTTAATCTGTGCCAGTGCCTGGCACAGGATGCTCAAGGAAGAATGAAAGTCTTTACACAGTTTGTTCTTGGAGAATTTGTTACTATGCTTCCCTAGGACACTCTGCAAGAGGTAATGCAAAAATGGCCATACTGAGCCCCATCAGAAAGCGCAGCTCTTGACACACACCAGCAGCCATCACGGACACATGTAAACTAGTGGGCAAGCATATTACACGTCATCTGTCAGTCATAAACATCCACCAGTATCAGATCTGTTATTTCTATATACAAATTATCTGTGACTATTTTTCATGTTAAGGTTTAGTATCCAAGGTTACCCAGCAACTCTAGAGTTTGGCAACGCAGTCTGTAAAACACTTTCTTCCTTTTTGGATGTCCTGTTCCTTGTATAGAAGGGGCTGTGAGCAACTTCCAGATTCATCTTTGTTGTGGTGTTTATAAACAGCACAGAGTGTGTATGAGACACTGGTGGGCTGTGGCGTGAGAGTAAGGATATGCTGGAATTTTGCATTTTTTTGTGAGAATAGATCAATTAGTCAGAATCAGTTTTCATGCATACTTTGAAACTGCAACTAAAATTCCCATCAGAGACAGACTGATATGTGCATGAGAGAAAAGGGGATTAAAAAAACCCAGAAGCATCCGTAAGTATTCAGAAGATGCAGGATCTCTAATTCATGAAGAGCTTGGGAGACAAGAAGACCCCCAAGATTATTTATTAAACATTAGTTTTAGCTGTGAGCATGATCTCTGTCACGGCTGTAACAGATGCCAACTTGGAAAGGGGAACTGTACATCTGCTCTTTACTACAAAAGCATGGGGTAATGTGAACATTCTGTGAAAATGATTTGATGGTCTACGTGAACCCACAGAGGCAGAAGAGAGATTACTGAAGAATTTTAGGTAGATCTCTACATATTCATGGATCAGGCTCTTGCTGGCTGAGGTAGAACAATTCCAATATAGATTATTCTCTTTAAGTAGGTCACCACAGCATTTTTATTTTTTTTTCCTCAAAAAGGTTAAAACAAGCTTTATTTGAACGTACAAATAAGATTTGTATACAAGGCAAAACACCCCTATAGTGGTGGCAGCAGGCATATTAGGTCTCCACATGGCATGTGTAGCCACCTGCACTACAGAAATCCTGAGATATGGAAAAAAGCCCTAAAAGTCTTTTTAAAAAGGCAGAAATACCTCATTTTAATCACTCTTGCTATACTCACCTCCATTCGGGAATTAGCAAAAACATACAGTTCAGAGTCAAGAAAACAAATTATCTGCAAGCCAAATACCCAAGATACATGTCTAATTCCCTGCTGTTACCTGGGTACCCTCACGAGAGCACTTGGGGAACAAATCAAAAGAAGTAAATATGTGAGATTTACTTCATTAACACTGCAAAGCACGTAGAAGAATAGCAAGATATTTCTGCCACCAACAACTACTATAATTTTCATGAACTGCGTGGTCAATGTGTCAAGCTTACACATCCTAGGATCTTACAAAACAAAGTTCTCTACATTGTGTGTTAAGTTACTAAAAAAACGTTAACATATTTCACTTCCTTTCACTATGAAGTTAGATGTGATATAGAAATATTTTAAAAGCTTATAAAAGCAGTAGAACTGCAGACATTTCAACTCCTGTCCCTAATATTAAAGGCTACTTGAGCACTCATTTTGCTACAAGATTGCATTTGCCGTTAACTGACATGAAAAAAGGAACAGTCTCTTTTTTTAAAAAAAGTTAAAAATAGAGGAAAGGTATACATAGGATTTGGGGGGTTTAAGTTTTACAACATATAAAAATAAGTTATACTATATATTATGGCTTTCTCATTTAGTAGAAGAGTGCCATTATGGACTTAAACACTAGATGTTGTAACTAATTAACTCACCATGTTCTCAGACTTCCCTTGTTTTCAGTTTTGATTGTGTGAAAAGAAACAACAAAATACTAGTGTGAAAATTCAGAAGCCTCCAGAACAATTTAAATAGGAAGCAGCACTTGTAGGAGTCTCTCAGAGAAAATCTTAATTTAAATTAAAATTAATGTTTAATTTTTAAAATTAATTGAAAATTGAAGTTTTAATTTAATTTAACCTCTTGGCACAAATAAAGGCCAAACCAAACCTCCCCTGAATTTCAGCAGAGTCAGAATTTCATACTGAGCTTCATTTCAGAACTGTTTACATACAATTATGATACCATTATGCTACTGAAGTAATGACTTCTCCTTAAGGTTTGTTATGCTAATCATACAACTGAGATACTGGTTAGATTTGGCATGCAGCTATCTCAAAAAGGCTACAATTATGCTAAACTGACAAGAAGCAACTGTAACACAACTGCTCAATATTGTGTTGTCCACTATGAATAAATATGAAGCAGGAGAGGGCCCAAAAGATGCTCAAGTCGGAGACTGAAAGACTGCATCTACACAAGGGTATATTATTAATGGCTGAGTATACTTACATTTGGAAGTCTAAAGCTGCAGTCAGATATGACAAATACATGTAAATAAAAAGAATCCTGGTTTCATTGCTAAAGTTGAAAAAAAAAAAAAAAGAAAATCTCATTGTGTAATGAAAGTTGCACTTGCAACAATGAAGTTTACAGCAGACATGCACAAATTTCAGTCACAGGAATATAAGAAAGATCATAGCACTGAATCTGGGAATATTTTCAAGCTCTAGTTTTACTCAGGATAGAAGAGTTGCCAGTTGCATAAAGTTAACTGAATACTGTACTTTTCCAGCTCCTTACAAACAAGGCTCCATATCACGCAGAAGATGAGCTTTCTCTCCCCTTTTTCTCCAAGAAAAGTATCAAAAGGCAAGCTACAGTGATTGTTTCTGACAGCAATAAAAGTAGGCAGCTAGAAAAGTAGGTATAGCCAAAAATTCTTACAGAAAAGGCATCCGTCCTGGTTTGATTTTGTTTATAAAAAGGCACTTCATGTATTGCTAGAACTCTGATAATGTACTTATTCTTTTAGTTTTTCTGTTAGAAGGCTGTATTTCAAGGTGGTTAGCATGAGTATGCAAACATTCTTTTTACAGTGTTTATCAGTTGAAATTTTTGTAATTACATGTAGTATCTTGCACCATTTATTTAGAAGAAAAGACTCCTGTTCAAAATAATAGCAGGTCTTCATACAATACTTCAGTGATGATGGATGATCTGTCATAAGCAACACACCACCTGTAGTGAGTTCATGCTAATAAAATTAGCAGTGTGAATCTTTCAGAAATGAGTCCTCAGTCTTCTGTTTTCCTCTCGTAGTCTCTCAATTTCAGCTACTAAGCTTTCATTTACAGAGTATCTTTCAAGTAAAGCGTGCATTTCATTCTAGAGAAAAGAAAGAAGCCCAATCAGTAGCTATGAAGTTAATTATTCCAGTTTTATCCTACCCATTTTCATATCCCTTTTGAAAATTAAATGACATAGATAACACTGGTTTTTAAAAACTTTCACTAAGAAAAGGGGTTTTTTTATAATGACATACAGTATTTTGATCATTAATACATTAGTGAATATTTTATCAAAGGATATTTTGCACTTCTTCTGGATGAGAATCTACCAATACAGATTCCATTAAAATGTTCAGTACCCAGACAAGGTCTTCTTAATGCAGATCAAAAGAACAAAGATTCATAAAAAGGTGAAGCTAAAGAACATAGTTCAGTATGCAATGCAGTATCTATAAGTAAGCTTTTCATTTGAATTCCATCTCTCCTCCTTACTCCAGCCCTTAGTCCTTTCAAAATGACAGCTGAATTCATTTCCCTTTTGTCTTTTTATAACTCCTGAAATATTGAATTCATGGTACATACCCAATGCATATGCTCCCTTTATTTACGAAGCATAAAACAGTTTAACAGATTCCAGTTCACAGCTTCTCCCTCCTTCACATCTAATCCTCCCTTTTTTGTTTCTAATAAGCAAAACTGATTTTCAGTTTTGAGAAGAAGTTGGTATGCCTTGGTATTACTAAAATGAAAACTGAATGTATTTCCCATCATGCTGTTTGTACATACCAACTGCACATGGAATTGCTTGATCATCTCCACTTGTAAATTCACAATATCTCGATGGCATGCTTCTCTGAGGGAAAAATTGCAAAAGGTGAATGTTTAGTTTTATTTAGGAAGCAGTAATTCTCTCCAATCCTCATCACCAGGACTCCACAATTCCTCACCTTCACGACATGGTGAAATAAGTCTAAAAACCCTTAAGACATGAAACATATTCCATTTCTGAAAAACTTTTGTTATGACATTGACTTCCATAAGTATTATTTCTTCAGTGTAAAAAAAGACTTAGGATCTTTTCTGTTTAGAAATATATGGGAATATCAAGATTGTGTTTTCACGTGCAAGCTGTAAACTTCTCTCATTGTTATTATTCAAAGCTGCTTTTCAATCCCTCACGTACAACAGAGAACGATACGTATCTGTGACTAAAGATACAACTTTTTGGTACGTGACTTTCAGCACTCTTTTGTAAGACAGCCCAAATGTCATCAGTGATAAATGATACATTATCCTCAAGGCCACAGAATGCTCCACATCAATCTACATAAGTAGTGACAATGTTGTCCATAAATTGACAAATCATAGAATGGTTTGTTTTGGAAGGGATCATCTTAAAGATCATCTACTTCCAACCCCCACTGCCATGTGCAGGGGCACCTTCCACTAGACCAGGTTGCTCAAAGCCACATCCAACCTAGCCTTCAGGACTTCCAGGGATGGGACAGACACAACTTCCACATCAATCCACAGATAACTACTCCACACTACAAGAACCAAGCTTGGACATACCCTCTGAACACTACACTATATACAACAGTTCCAGACCTGAGGAACACGGAGAACAGCTCACAGAAAAGCAGGCAAGCTCATGTACTCTTCCTGAATATTGCATCACACCACAATTATCAGAGATCAGAAATTGGGCTACAGGTATCACTGGCCTGAGAAAGTAAGGCGGTTCTTAAGTAGACACACACTGATCTTATTTCATTCTCCTTTCTTAAAACATACAGCAAACCCAAAGCAAATATATTCTTCTCTCGCTATTTCCATAGGTTACTGTGTTTCTGAACTCCTTGGAGGCAATCTTCTTCAAGTGTGTTGAAGACAGACACCATCTGGCAGCATTAGAAACCCAAAGATGTAGGTTATCTCCCAAAGATAGGAAGCTCAAGAAAAGAGCAGCTTTTTGGAACCCAGTGAATTATATATTCCTACTGGTCCTTTTCTAAGGTCCTTGGTTTTCCCCTATTACTTGAAGAGGAATGGATTTCAGGCAAAAAGCTTGCAACAGCTCCCTGCCCTTTTACTGACCTCAGTACAATCTTTTGCATTCAGTTTATGAATGCATTCACAATTTACAACCAGGAAAAGGGCCAGCAGAGCCTTCCAGTCACTCCATGAAGTGTAGGTCAGAAGTGAAAAGTGAGAAAGTTGGGGCTGTTCAGGCTGGAGAAGAGAAGGCTACGTGGAGACCTCATAGCAGCCTTCCAGTATCTGAAGGGGGCCTACAAGGATGCTGGGGAAGGACTCTTCGTTAGGGACTGTAGTGGTAGGACAAGGGGTAATGGCTTCAAACTTAAACAGGGGAAGTTTAGATTAGATACAAGGAAGAATTTCTTTACTGCGAGGGTGGTGAGGCACTAGAATAGGTTGCCCAAGGAAGCTGTGAATGCTCCAACCCTGGTGGTGTTCAAGGCCAGGTTGGACAGAGCCTTGGGCAAAATAGTTCAGTGTGTGGTGTCCTTGTTCATGGCAGGGGGGTTGGAACTAGATGATCTTAAGGTCCTTTCCAACCCTAACTATTCTATGAGTCTATGAAACGCAATCTCTAAGGGTTCAGATCTCAGACACTGGAAGTTCAAGACTGACAAGCCTACCTACCAAAACTGGGATGCCTGAAGACAGACTTCAAAGTAAAAACATCCGTAATCCGTGGACTGCATTTTAAAGTCATGTGGAAATTAAGAGTTTTTAATCAGACATGTGATTATTGTCAAAAAATCCCAGGGGATTTTTACTATACTATATTCTTATTTCAAGGTACTTTAAAACATCCAGTGTATTTTTCTGTTGGCAGATACAGAACAGCCATAGCACACAGACATACTAAGCTAGTTTTGCATTGCTTTTTGTCATCAAGACAGCAATACTTCCCCCACCCAGCAATCCTTTTCCCCTCCATCATCTCAGTCAACCTACTTTACCCTAAAACATGGGTTAGCCAATGATCCCCTAGATACAACTCTCTCAAAAGCTCCACTTCCTTCAAACTCCACTCTAAATCCATGCTAATTTGACTTAGTACTTTCATGACAAGTGGAATGTTAGTTAGGTATCTACAAACACCAAGTAATCTGACACCAACCATCACTTACAGCATAGACATTGTTTAATGTAAAGATTCACCAGTAGAAATACACACAGTATTTTACTTCATAAATGCCAAGCTAACAACAATCATAGCCAATACAAGTCAACTGTCTAGATCAAACTCTCCACAGGGTCAAATGTAAGATAAATTTCTCTTGCTGGCACCAGAGATGAGCGGGGAAGGAAAGAAATCAGCACAAGCTTTTATGAAAGCAGTAAGGACCTTATTACACAGATAAATTTACCACCCAAAAATTATTCACACACTCATTCTGAAAACATGTTAGCAAAACCATGCATTAACTGCCCTCAGAGACAGCAGTTTAATCAGTCAAAAGAGCTATTAAAATAAAGTTTCATACCTAGATTTCTGAGATTAGGGCTATTAATGGTTTCATTTTCTAATGCAAGTAGAAATTTCTTAAAGCAGATGCTTAAGCATCTTACAAGGAAAGCATGTCATTGAAAACAAAAATGTTCTGCATGAATACCAGTACCTGAGGTCATCCATTGTTTCTTGTATCATATTCTGAATGAAGTTTATTTGGAATGATGTCAGAGGTGCATTTGGTCTGCTACTTCCAATGTTTTCTACTATTTTTTCTGATAATGAACTTGCAACTCCAGCGGCGACAGGTGATGTTATCTTTGGACCTTTACAATTAAACAAATTTAATAGTGATTAAAAACAAACAAACAAAAAAAATCAGTATAACACACTACAAGATTTTTTATTTGTCTTGAGTCTTCTCAATATTTTATTTCAAATATTATTTAGTAAATAAAAAAAAAATAAAATAAAAAAAAAAAAACAAAAAAAAACCATACATTTAGACCGAATCTTTTCAGATGCAATTAGAGATGTTCTAGGAGGTCTAACTGGATTTACAGAAGCAGCAAGATTGGGTGTTCTGTTTTAATGCTAAGGCCTTTTTATCAGGTTTCACATCAGTTTACAATCAACCATACCTAAATCTGGGCCAAAGTGATCAACTTACTTGTTGAGGTAGTACCGTTTACTGGTAGATCATACGCAGGATGGGCCTGAATATTCTTCACTAGTCTTTCATTTGTATCAGGAGTCTTTACAGCAGTGAATGATGGTGGAGAACTTAAAGTTACAGATTCTGCACTTGATGAACTCGATTTTGAAAGCTGACCCTAAAAATAAAAGCAACAATAAAAAAACCCCCATAAACTCTACTTATTACAATTACCTAATTGCACTTGAAGCCTATGTTTTCAGGAATGCACTTGCAAACATTTTTGGTTTTAAGAACTTAAAAATGCATGCTTTTCACTTTCTAGCAAGACATCTTAAAAATGGATTGCTAAAATATGCAAAATTGCTTCAAGTACACACACAGAAAAGAACACAAAAGGCACAGGCCTCTTAATTTTCATATCAAACATTCTGTGGAGATATTATAAATGTCATTCCTAGCCAACCTGGACTTCTTGAAAGTGATACAAAAGAAGGTAGGGTCTGTGCAGAAGCATATCAAAGCTATCTTCAATGTAGAAGAGGGCGGAACTGACCTAATAAACAACAAAACCAATCATACTGGTGCAGCCAACGATCATTCTTGATTTTAAGAACAGGGTCTACAAGAAATCTAGAGGGGGACTTTTTACACAGGGGAACGGCTTTAAACTGTAAGAGGGTAGATATAGATTAGATATAAGGAAAAAATTCTTCACTGTGAGGGTGGTGAGACACTGGAACAGGTTGCCCAGAGAAGTTGTGAATGCCCCATCCCTGGCAGTGTTCAAGGCCAGGCTGAATGGGGCTTTGAGCAACCTGGACTAGTGGAAAGTGTCCCTGCCTGTGGCAGAGGCTTGGAACTAGATGAGCTTTAAGGCCCCTGCCAACCCAAACCATTCTATGATTTTCTAGAAAAATAAAAATATTCTTCAGGCTAGCCCAGTTTTGTTTCACATAAACTCTTGTAACCTGAGCTTATTTAAGAGAAACATACATTTATCTTCCACTGCTGAAGCCAAAACAGTTAAACTGCACAACATTTCACAGATCTGTCACTAGTGTGAACAGAGTCACAAAACAAGATTAGGTGGGACACTATTACAGCTTTTTCCTTCAAGTTGTAGTATTCTGTGAAGTTTTTAAGAAGATCACTCATAAGTATTAAAATAGTATACCAGCTTTAAGACTTCTTTAGATTCTTGTTTTCCAAGACTTATTTTCTTTGTGTCTGTCTCTGGATGTTCTTCCTCTTCTTTAATTGTAGACCCCACAAGTGCATGTAATGGGCTGGACCGTATTCCCTGTGCACTACTGCCCACTGGGTTTCTTTTTGCTGGAAAGGCAGTGGTGAGATGTGGGAGAAAATCCACACCCAAAATGTAAGACTGAAAATCCACACCTAAAATGAAGAAGGAAGGGGGAAACGCACAGGTCAAAAAAACAAACACACAGCTAAATCAATCCCACAATTAAAGCACCTGCACACCCACAAAAAACAAGCAATAAAATCACCCAAAATGCACCCCAGAGAACCTAAATCCTTAAACTCAACTTACGCTGTCACTATCTGTATGGAAGTAACAGACCAAGAGAAGCCTCTATATATCACTATAAACTGCATAAAGGAAAACCAGAATCACTTTAGGATTTAGTATTTAGTGATTTAGGATTTAGTACAGTAGGATGTACTCTTGATTTCCTGTTAACATGTTGTGTCTTAGCACTTCAATGTGTTAGGCAATTTCCAGAAAAGTTCAGTTGTTTCTGTGTCTGCTTTCATTGTTTGTTTATTTTCAATGGTAGAACAAAATTAGCATATAGGAACTAGCATAGGCCTCGAAGGCCTATCACTATCAAAGAAAAATGTGCTGAAAGTACATTTACCATCTCCTTTTCCTTGAGGATCTTCATTCACTTTGTTTGCAGTAGTATCTACAAAATATCAGAACACATTGTTTCTTAAATGAAGCCTACACCGATATTCACATCATTGCATTGAGTTCATAGTCAAAGACAAATCAAAATACCAAATAGGTACAGTAGTCAGTAACACACAACATCAAAATGTCATGCTAAATGTAGATGAATGATGCTTTACAAATTTCAGTATTAACAACTTACCATCTCTGATTGGAGAAAACACATCTCCTAAACTACTTCGACTGACATTAATATTATCAGCGCTCTTCCCATGATCTGTTTCTTTAGATGGAATCACATCCAAGCTGCAACTATGTGGAAAACCTTAAAAGGACAATAATAGTCAGTAAGTAATTGATATTTTCCAGAAATAATGTTAAGTTACCCCTAAACAATCTCACAGTAAACATGATACCCAGTATGTCCAGCAAGCATGTTAGCACTCTACAGATCTCAGTAGACGGTCAACTTTAACCTCCTCATTTGGGCTGGCAACAAAGCTGAACATAACTAAAAGCTACGACATTTATTAACAAAAATAAGATACAGTCACATTCCTTTCTTCTTTCAGAGGAGGAGTTGTCAAACTGAATAATGCACTCATTTTCAGGTAAATCTACACGATGGAAGTAGTATAGGTATATGTATACTTCTTCTCCATCTTACTTTTCGAGGGATCAAAATGTGACTTTGTGGATGACTACAATTAAGCATGCCCAAGTATTCACATAAACTGGAACATGAGTCAGGTTTAAAGTTTCAGGTTTCAATGCATTAATACATCACGTTTTCCACACCTTCAGGTATGTCAGTTGTGACTCATACGTAGGATTACACTTGCTAGTTAAATCAGTTAAACTAGAAGTGCAGTATCAACTTGTGCCAACATCTACAGAGGATCTACATGGAAAAAGCATAATATAAAATAGGGCAAAACGTCTTTTGTATATTTTTACCCAGTAAATCTAAATGTAGTAAGCACCTAAACCAGAGAACGGCTGTTAAATAGAAGTTTATGGGAAGCCAGCTCAAAGTACACCCAAACTTGTCATCACATTCTGACTTCATTTATACCTTTGTACTTATAGTCTGGGGCTTTTTATCAGTTATTTTACAGCTGTCTGAACAGTTGTTTTTTTGTTTTAAGTATGCTGTCAAATTGCTTTACTGAATGCCCCTTATTTCTCCAAAGTCAAAGCCCATAATCAGGGTCTAGAAGAGTTTCCACAGAACAAATACAGTTTGTGATCTTTCACCCATTACCATTTTTAAGTTTAAAGACTCCATTTTCTGAAGTACACAGAGGTCTTTACTTCTACTGAACACTCAGTTCAATGAAAAATATCTGCTTTACTTGGTGAGCCTTTATTTTCTTAAAACATTTATTTATTATGCATGGTCCTGTTTAAGGGGTAACAGCTATTACATCTTCAAATAAAGATAATAAATCATATATTTTAACTGAAATCAAATTTTCCACACCATTCAGTAATGTTGATTAGCAACACTTCTTGTATACATAGGAAGTATTCTACTTCATGTCGTACTTCACTGCATACCCAAGGGAAGTCATTAATACACGTCTCTATGGACTGCAGTGGCTTATTGCCTAATTACTATTGCTGAACATATTTCTCCTTATTTAAAAAACAGGGGAAAAAGTGCTGTTGCATTAAAATGGTTTGAGGATTTTTTTTGCAAGAATCAAACTAACAGCGTAACTGATATGTCCAGAATTGAACTCGGAACTCCTGAATTCAATAAAATTTTAAAAGTACATTTCACACAGTGGCAGAAATTTAGAATAATGCTTAGAATTCTTATAAAGAACTTGTTAATTTCAGAAGCATAAATAGCAAGTACAGTTATACAACTAATCATACTTGCAACTATATTTAACATCTTTCCTACCATGTGATACTGGAGTCATGCTTCACATAAAAAATACAGTTCAGTTCTCATTTGGATTTTTAGACTAGGTTTCTTTTTCCCTATGCTTTGTTTGGTTGACTGTTTTAGATAAGGCCTGTTATTCCTGTTTATTAATAGAATTACAGACCATTAGCTCTGCATTCCATGCAAAAAAGTGCACCAAAAAATACATCATCTACATAACCAAAATCTACAGGAAGTCAGATGGAAAGAGAGCCCCACAATATCACCACAGTTTTCTCCTTTAAATACAGACTTTTACTTCAAGTCCAGATTTTCAGATTTCACATGTCTAAAGCTTGCAGTAGCTCCCAATTCACTTCCCACAGTCTCATAGTATGTCTAACCCAGTAGGTGAGGTAAAAAGAAAGTGCAGATGCACATGCACGTACATGCAGTTCTTTCAAATCAAATGCCCTTCCCTCAATGAAATTTTTATACTGTAATGGTCAAGAAACAAAATATTCTTCCCACCTTCTATATTATGCCTAATATTATTGTAAGAGTAGGAAGAGGACACTACCTGTTTTCTCCTGAAGAATCTCTCCTCCCTTATCGTCATTTGGCAATGCCAGAGGGGATGAAACTGCTGCTGATGCTTGAGAGGAAACATTTTTTATGCCAGTAGTTTGAACTCCTCCAAGATTACTACCAGCTTTGACTTCTACTTTTTTGGATACAGGCTTATTTGAAGAACCTGTAAGGTTAGACTGAAGAAAAAAAAAAAATATAGAACAAAGAGAAGTCATATTTTTACTTTTAGCTGAAGGAATAATAAGTCAGGATTATTTCTGCTCCAAAATACTAAAAAAAAAGAAAAAAAAAAAAAAAACACCCCACCAAAGAACCAAACCCAACCCTCAGTTCAACTTGCAAAGGTTGCCTAGGAGATATGCCTTTACAAATATTTAAAAAAGTATCTTAATGTAATTTCAAAGAACATGGGAAACATCTGTATTAATATTTGAATACTGTGTGGACCTGCAAAAGAATAGCAACAGAACTTAAGGTAACAATGCAGAGACCTGGCATGAGCCAATTTTGATTCCAGGCTTAGGGATAAGCGGGGGGGGGAAAAAAAAAAAAAAAAATTATTACATTATGAGGGACTCTAAATTGTGAAGGAATAGTGGTGTTGTTTAAGTGCAGACAGGAACTCAGAACGACACAGCCACTAGCTCACTTCCCTCCTTTTCCCTGCCCCGCTCCCAGAGAGATGGGGAGGAGAATCGGAAGAATGTAACTCCCACGGGTTGAGATAAGAGCACTCCATTAACTAAGGTATAATACAAACCACTACTGCTACCACCAATGATGATAATAAGGGAAATAAGGGGAGAGAATATAAAACTGAGAGGGGAAAGGAAAACAATAAACACAAGTGATGCACAATACAATTGTTCACCACCTGCTGACCGATACCCAGTCCGACCCAAGCAGTGATCCGGGCCTTCCAGTAACTCCTCCCAGTTTATATACTGGGCATGACGTGCTGTGGTATGGAATACCCCTTTGGCTAGATGGGGTCTGGTGTCCTGTCTCTGCTTCCTCCTGGCTTCCCGTGCCCCTCCTCACTGGGAGATCATGAGACTAAGAAGTCCTTGATCAGGGTAAACATTACTTAGCAACAACTAAAAACATCAGTGTGTCATCAGTGTTGTTCTCAGACTAAAGTCGAAAACACAGCACTGCACCAGCTACTAGGAAGGAGAAAAATGACTGTTAACAGCTGAACCCAGGAAAAATAGTCAGCCACTTAGCAGTATGCGTGCTACAAGATGAGGAAAATGTCAGCAAACTGAAGAATCCCCTTCAAAGCTTCTCTTTGTCTCCACTGAATAGGCAGTGGGGTTTCTGGCTACACTAGAGCCTAATTAAGTCTTGGAAGAACCTCTTAAGCCTTCTCTATTATTTAGTCAACTTCACTATGTATTTATACCTGCAAAAGACCATATATAAGACCATGCAAAATGCCTTAAGACAGGCAGCTGGGTGTCTTCCACTTAAATGGAAGGGCCACTACAGACCTTTCTGCTACTGCCTACAAATGAGTTTAAGGTGCCACAAACCAATCTGCAACGGCAGCATATTCACACCAGGAAATTTAAGACTAAAGTTTCACTCATTTCTACACTGAGGCTAGGAGTGGGGTGGGGGGAATTCCACATTAAAAAACCTTAAAACGGCACTGAAGACCAAGCAGTTGTTTGTAATTTCTATGTTGGTGTGAACCACATTCATGCTTAGAAATGGAATGCTAACATTTTTTTTTTTAGAATTTAAATGTACACTTAATTTTCATTAATCTCCATATTGAACAAAAAGAAGGAAAGGCTTTTACCTTGGAAAAAGTACTACTGAACTGAAGACGTATGCATTTCACACAGCCTTTGTGAGCAATAACTGTTTTCACTGGTGATGTCAGTTGCCTTAAGTCATACTGGCAGATTTTTCCCCGGGAACATCCTATAGCCAAAGTAGTACCATCAAGCATGAAGTCTACCGTTGTCAGAGGAAAATCAGCTACTATTGTTGTCAGTAACCTTCAAATAGGAGAAAGGACAGGATAAAGAAGCTTTTAGAGTTCAAAAGTTAGACTTTTCAAAACAGAGTATCTAAAAAACAAAAGCTTTCATAATTCAGCTACAGGTCAGTACTTCCACTTCTCCAGTGCCAAGTAAACTCAGGGAAATACATTATGGAACAGTGGATTAGGCTTCTACTACACATTCCTACTTAACCAATTAAAGACTGCTCGTGCCCCCTGCAAAATTCCACCAAGACAGGATCAAACTGCCTTCATAACAGCAGTTCTGACACCAACATGATTTACTGTCATCATTTTAAGTAGCAATCATACTCTGCACATCCTTTAGCCTTCCAAGCCTATCTTCTCTAACCTTCCCACAACTCCAGGCACATCTTCAGGTCCTAGTTTGCCTCCTTCTATTACAGCCTTCCAAACTAGAGCTGGACCCCTGCTTTTATCCAGCTAGAGTGAAAGCACAACTCACACTAGAACCAAAGTCCCATGAAACCACTTGTTGTTCTACCCTCTTACTATGCAGTCCCATCACCTATGCCCCATTCTTCCTTCTTTTCAAACCAATACTCTACTTATTATCTATAAATACCATATTTAAGGGAATCATTATTCACTGTGAGGGTGGTGAGGCACTGGCACAGGGTGCCCAGAGAAGTTGTGGCTGCCCCATCCCTGGCAGTGTCCAAGGCCAGGTTGGACAGGGCTTTCAGCAACCTGCTCTAGTGGAAGGTATACCTGCCCATGGCAGGGGGTGGAACTAGAAGATCTTTATGGTCCCTTCCAAACCAAACCATTCTATGACTCTATGATATTTAAGGATTGCTATCTCAGCCACTCTGTCCACCACAGTTGTGTCTTCTATCTTGAAGAAGAAAAGCAGACAAGCTAAACTCAGGTGCATAACTAAACTCAAGCTAAAGTAAAGCTAAACTCACAAGCTGTACTGCCCCTCACAGAAGCTAACTGCTCTGTATCAACCAGAAAAGCCCATACACAAGCACTGCAGAATAGTCACTTGCATGTAGCACCTCAACTAGTTCTCACATGCCTTGGGATTTTTTTAATTGTTTATTTGGGGGGGTTGTCTGTTTGGTTTTTAAATAAAATGCAAAATGGGCTATGGGACAGGTTCTCCAGTAGTAGTATGCCAACTGCTTCAACCATTCTGAATATGGTCTGAATTAAATATTTCATTTCATAGTTAGGCATGCTTTTTCATTTCATAAAAAACAAGTAAGGATCCTTCTAAAATCAAAAGGTCTTTAATATACTCACTTTTTACTTGAAGTGTCATAGAGAATAATTCTTTTATCCAAACCTACAGTTACAAGCAGCAGCTTATTGACTGGAGAAAAGCAGATTTCTGAAGCTGGCGCTTTATGAGCATTTTCAAAATTATGATATGGGTTCTGGTTATTTACATCCCATAGAGTTACATTTCCACTGTCAGAAACGCTGCCCAGCAAGGATTTCTTAAAGGATGAATATTTCAAGTGTCGAACAGGCTGTAAAACAGACATTAAAAATGAACTGTAATAACACTATTAACAGCATATTAAATTATTTTCTAAATGCACAAACACATCAGAAATACAGATGTTACATTAAGTAGGTTACACTGGCTGCTCATTCTGAAAAATAAAGTGTTTTTTTAAAAAAAAGCATTTTTCATTACAATGCCACTTTTGCTGTTAGAGGGGCATATTTGTTTTTGCCCTTGTACCAGTATGGGGTACCGTATGATCAGCAAAATTAATGACAAGGGGAAAAAAAAAAAAAACTAAACCAGAAACTTCTAGAAAAGTTTCTTGATTTTCATCAAGTATCATGCCATCAAACACACTACAAAATAACCCACACCACTTCTAAAATTAGAGAAGTGAAAGGCTACATTATTTCACTGATCGGTCTCCTGCCAAGAATGTTAAACTTAATTCCCCTCCACTGATTTTAAGTACTTGATATAAGCCAATTTGGTAAGACAGACTCCAGAGTTATGCATGTATATCCTGCAGAAGAACAGACTTCACCCTGTGAGGTAGGACCACAGAAGAGGATAATATATCTGTTTTATCACACACAGCCTTGCTATCACAGAACCATGTAATACAGGACCTTAACTTGCCTTTCAGAAGCAGGCAAGCATTTTGTTCGTATCATATTGCTTCAGAGGATATTTCAGAACCTCACTGCTCTAATACTAAATTACAATACTTTATTTCCAGATTAATTTTATTTATGACCCATTTGCACCAATTCACTCCCGTGTCAATAATGCCCTTACACTTAAATTGTTTCCAAACTCCCCAGTGCTGCTTTTCTGTTTTAATAAAGACACCTCACCTTCTTTCAGGCTGCAATCCACTATAATCAATAAGCAAGACTCAGACTCCAAAGACTGTTTATCAGTACCATCACGGTCTCTTTGCAGCTCTCCCAGTTTGAATCTTTCTTGCATATGGACAACCAAAACCTTATATGATCCTTAAAACATTTTGCTACTGCCTTTGCAAAGGCAGTAACACTGTCTCCATTTTGTACTGTAAATACCTACATACCCTAGGTTGCATTTTCTTTTTTGTGATCCAGTCTGTTTTAGTTGCTTATTGCCATTTTATGATCAAGCAGCCCAAGCCTTTCTTTCTCTTGGGGCTTTTCAAACCCTAGTCTAATAAGAGAAGCCTCAATTGTGATGCAAGTCTGGTACCTTGATTTTTATACTGTGATAGCTGTTCCCATGTATGTTATTACAATTCTTTTGGACACTGACTTAATCCTCTCTTATGGACGATACCTTCCAACTGTGTCTTCCAACTGTGTCTCAGCAGAGCTCTACTTCTCTGTCATAACCATTGCTGAACACGTTAAACAAGATTAGCTCCTGCTAACCTGAACAAATATTTTCTCTCAATATTACTTACTGTCTTTTTCCCCTACAGCCTATTTCTTACCCCTCAATCCTTTTCTAACCTACATCCTCTTCTTCTCACAAGGCACTGAATCAAGTGCTCTACTCAAGTCCAGCCAGATGAGAGACATTACATTTTATCTGTCTGAAAATGCTCTCAAAAAGCTATTATATTATTCCAATATAGACCACACCACAATGCCCTGCACTGGATTTTATCCTATTTCTCTCTTTAACTTCATTTTAATGGAGATATGTGTTGGTTCATATGCCTCCAACATTATTTCTACCACTTGTATTGCATTACGTCTTGCTGGACGCCTACTTGCTCCACAAAGCGGCACCCTCAACTGCATATTGAAATAGGACAGAAGATGACTATTTATAATTAATATGGTCCTCCACTGGACATGGAGACATTTTTATCAGCATTTTCAGTCTGTTTACATTAAAAAAGGAACTAGTGAGAGACTCAGGAATAATAGATTCAATTATGTACATGACTGACATGTCAAACATGCCTGTCCCTCACAGTTCTCTCAGTTCTTCACCTCCAAATATCTTCTTTACTGCCTTTGGCATTTACTCATATTCCATTTTCTCACTCTTCCGTCCTCCTGCACACCAAGATTACTCTCTCCAGCGCTCCTCAAGCCTCCTTTACTATCCCGCCAAGTTTCCCATTTCCTTTTCTCATTTTCCCTTTTAATCTCACAGGCCCAAGGCAAGTTCTTCATTCTCTTTTGTATACATACCTTCCCCATATTACTTCTGTTCCCCACTTCTCATTGAAGTCATGGTGTTTCCTCAGAGCAGCTTAGAAGTTTAATTCAGGTTGCCGATGAAGGAGATGTGAGGAAGCTCTTACTCACTCCTCACTGAATTAGGTTAGCAACAAACTTCACTTGCAACAATGCAATTGCTAGATCAGACTCACGGAACAGCAACAAACTTCACTTGCAACAATGCAATTGCTAGATCAGACTCACGGAACAGAGGTGCTTAAATCTGTGTACACTTTTATGAGACAGGTGAATGCATCCCTGAGTATGCTACATGTTGAAGTTTCAAACTCCTGCCCAGACAGCTGAAAGGAGGCATGAAAGAACCTCATTTCTGAAAGGCTGCTTGACAAGACAAAGCCAAAACATTTCATCTCCCAAAAGCAAGTCAATTAATTAAGTTTTATCTTTAAGCTTCACAGTAAAACAGCCAAACAAGGAACAGTGCACTTCAGAAAATAGTTGGCTCACTGCTGAGAAGAACTAGCTGCTCTTAGGGTTTTTCACCACTGGGAAGTAAGTGAAAAGCCCAAAACTAAACCAAAAGTGGTCTACCATCATTAATTACCTTATTAAAAGATAGTATAGTTTCTTAATCTCCTTCATACTTTACTGAGCCTTGTAAGTGAGAAAGCAGATGTAAAGACAGTTGATAGTCTTCAGCTTTTAAAGCTATTTCACTGTATGGAGTGACCAGAACTCATCACACTTCTTTATAAACCAGCCAGCTGTTCAAACAACTGAACTAAATCCTGTTGCTAGGAGAATACCATGAGGCAGTGAAGACTTGAGCAAACATTATGTTTCGAAACAAACCTTAATTCATCCTCACAACAGCAAGCAGATAAGAATCTAGTAGTCTAAATGAATACCAACAGCAAAGACAAATTATGGGATTTGCAAACAACTCTGTGCAAGAACTAAACTCTAATAAAGCACAAAGATGCTTCTAAATCAAAATCAGTTAACAGAATATAGGCCAATGCTCATATGAAAAGAAAATTGTTTAAAGTCACAGAAAGCACTGCAACCTTGGGCTGTCCTACTACTTTTAGAGTCTATCCAACATCAGAAATTAACTGGCAAGGAAACTACATTCCATCATGGTGAATCAAACACAGACAAGCTAAATTTTATAAGGTTAGTTTGACCTCACATTCCTCAATTGTTAAAAAAGTTACTAGGGAGAGATGACCCTTACTAAGACAGACAGCTAGTGCCAGGATCGAACAGGACAATACACTGTGTATCTATTCAAGATTACTCTTAGAAAACTGGGCCCCTAAAGTATAAATCAAGTAAAGGCTTTTTACATTTAACAGAATTACACAAGTCTTCAGATATTTGCTTCACTGCACAATCAACCCTGAAATTCCTTACAAGTACCAGTTAAACCTCCAAACAAAAAATAAAGCTATTTTTGCACATAAGAAGAAAGATAATTTTTAGGATATAAAATAAACTGATAAACTGGGACATCCAAGTAGCCATCTCATTACATAATTACAGCTCAATTCCATTTTAAATTAAGAATGCAATCAAAAAACTGTCCCCCTTTAGAAAATGTTATAGACCCTTTTGAAAGTGAACAGTAGCTCTGTGCTTGCAATTACTTTGATTTAAAACTTCAAATATCTTTATCCATCTTAAAGGTCACTCAGCTTTGCAGTAGGCCTCTTGTTCTCATCTACCAAAATAGCTATTCATTGCATCACTTATTCCTAATCACTTTTTGGTGAAAGAGTCAGGTATATCAAACAGGTTGATGTAAATCATCCTCATAAGAATTTCTTAATTTTCCAATTAACTAGCAGCATAGCCCTCGCTCTGGATGTTCACCTCAGCTGTGTAATCCCACCATGGATCTCCCTGCAGCTCCTGCCTCCCCTCCACATTTTTCATAAGATCATAATAATCCAATCAGAAAAATGAACTGACTACAGAGATGGATTTTTAAGATCAAACCAAGTATGAAGTATAATTTTGCTTCAATATAAGTATGAGACTGGTGATGGATCAAAGATGCCGTAGCACCTAAGAGCATAGACAGTTTGAATTTAACAGAGATTTTTCAACAGAAAGTATACCACAATTCCTGTGATGCTATAAAGTTGTAAGAGATTTTTCACTGAGTTATATTGTTCATGCTAGACAGGAGAAAAATTTAACTTCACACTCTATCTGTAATCGAGGACCGAAAAAGCTGTTGCAGTAACAGAAAATGAGTAAGCCACAACTTCAGTATTCCCTGTGACATTAAAGGTCAGATTTCGGACCAAAGCAATGTTCCTGCATCCCCTAGGCAGCTCCTAACTCTGTAAAAATGACTTGGATAGATGGATACATACATACACACATAAATAGATGCCTAGAACATAAACACTTGGCTGTGCCTAAGACAACATTTACACTAAGAACACACACTGGAACTTCTGATGCGACAACACAGCTCATTTACTACTGCAGGTGCTCTTATATCAAGGGAATTCCCCTAATGACATCCACTAATTCTTCAGTGTCATCTGAGGCTGCAACAAGAAATTGCAGTGTAAAACCCTACCAAAGCCATTAAGTAGTACACATGCTTTGTGTTTATCTTTTGCAGAGTTTTCCTTCAAATTACTTATCCAGAATCTTTCCTAAACACCTATGTAGGCAATATAAAATCTCATTGCTTTTCTCTTTGAGCATCTGTGCAATTGTAATCTCCAAATTAAATTAATTTATTATTTCCAAATGCAAGCTTATATTCATCCCTACTATGCAGATGGCTCTGTTCAGTTGTAAATCTGATTACTTTGGGTAAGTCAGAACCCAAGCTATGTGGTCTCTGTTCTTTGCAACAATATACATTAAATTGTGCACTGAAATCCTGCTTTGATTTGTAAAGCCAACTGTTTTTCATTCAGTTCTAACATACATAGAAGTTTGTTCTTGAGGAATCAGAGTCTACAAAGTAAAATTTGCTGTAACCTATATATAAAGAAAGATATTTGAGAAATTTGAATTTCAATGTCACTTATAATTGAAGACTAGAGTACATACAACGGCCTGTTTTTTCCTTTCTGTAAGTGCACTCTTAAAAATTAAAAGGAAACAGATTAATAAAACTCAAAAGCTCCTGATATGTACTTTCAATTTCTAAACACTCTGAATTAAGGCTTCACACCTGAAAAGAACTTGATACAGACAGCCTACCTGACGGCTTCCATAACCAAAGGGAGTACTTGATAAATTGGTGGTAACACTGTGTAGGATAATTTCACCACTCAAAGACCCAGAGGCGATGTAGCCATCATTCCAATTATATGTAACACATGTGACTTCATCTTTATGATCCTGTGAGGAAGCAAGGTTAGAGGGAGATGGTTAAAGACATTCAAGATAACCATATTTCTTCCTGATCTGTGTTTTTTCAGAAAAACTTTAGCTTTATGGTTTTTTTTTTTCTGATAATCTGTAAAAGTTATTATGGAATATTCCAGGAAACAGCAGCAGAACATACTGAAGATCAACCATTCCATTACATTTTAACTGTCTGATTGTTTTCAGAGGATTGTTTTAATAAATTAGTAAAGATAAGATGATGCTGTAATTATATACAATACTTTAATAGGACAACCACAGAGATATCTACGACATGTTATCATAAAAGTAAAGCCTTCCAGAAACCAGTGATACCTGAATAAGTTTTCTGTTAATCTGGTGTACTACTACCAACTTCCCCTTCCATCACTTTTTAATGTTAACACATATACTTACCAAATAGCTTTTCAACACAGTCATTTGCAATGATGATACTGTGTTTACCGAATATACAGGGGAAGACAATCAAGTACTTCTAGCCCAAAAAGGAGAAAAAAAATATTTAAAGTACTGTATTAGCTACTGAGTAGTTTTGTTTCAAACTCTAACTTTAAAAGTCCAAGAAAAAAGAAAAAATGAAAGCTAAAGTGTTATAGCCTCTTTAACAGGGATCCTAAATGAGAGCAAATCATCCACTGAAGGCATCATGGAAATACACTAGACCGTCCTAAGTTTTGTGCATCATAACAAGGTTTTAAACAAAGGGGGTTGGAACTAGATGATCTTTAATGTCCCTTCCAACTCAAACCATTCTATAAGAACACAAAATTGAACAAGACACTTAGGTGTGCTTGCTCCCATCTGTGAACTTGATCCTCCAGATACATGACTTAGAGAAAGCATATTTTTTACAGCTGGCAGCAAAATCTGGAACTCGTGAAAGCTACAGTGCTTACTCAGCCAAACTTACCTTAAGGCTACGGTAAACCTTTCTGGATTTCAGATCCCAGATATTAACTGTGTTATCAAGGCCTCCACTTACAATATATGAAGAACTAGAATTTAAGCTTACACATGTCTGGTTTGCCTGATGGAAAAGGGAAAAAAAAAGTATGTTAAAGATAATTAAGGGGTTTATTCAAGCCTACTTAAAAGCACAGTGATTTGTGTTTTCATCTTCATTAACACAAATAGTTCCACTGACCAACAGTGCTATCAGTGCACTACAGCCATTTTCCATTTAAAATGCAATCCAGTTTGGACACAAGTTTAATATACTTTAAGATCTAAATAAATAAATGAATAAAGTCTTTTTTCCTATTTCAATTTTTTTAGCATCTTTTCTTCAATACGCATTTTCCCTTTAAATTACAGCCCCCTAAATTGCAATCATAAGACTTCTATTCCAATATAGAGTCTTAAAAAGAAAATGCTAAGTTCAGAAAAAGAAAAATACCCCACAAAAAAAACCCAACTCCTTAAAAGAAAATCAAAAAGTTGTCTAAGTCATGTACTTCACATTCCCTAAACATTACAAAGAATATTATAGCAGCAAACCTCATAATTCGATAAAGTGATTCTTTTTAAAACAGCTGAAGTACCAGCTTTTGGAAAAAATGTCAATCTTAATGATGGACCTACATAGAGGACAAATTATTATGCAGTTCTACCATGTTGAAAATTCACTTTTAAGTTCCCGAGATTTGAATGAAGAAAATACAAGTCCATCTAATTACTGACATAGAAAAATTGGAAATGATTGCATTAGTAATACATCAGATTTAGCAAAATCTCCAGGACAAACACTCCACCTTTGAAAGCCTATGCTTCTGCAACCTTAAGGCCCTGTTTGAACACCTTTTCAGAAAGTTTCCAGTCCAAATTAGCATTAGAATAGCTATCCAAAGAGAATAATTAGAATGGTTCAGAACACTAACAAGTCAATCAAGTAACCAGTCAAGATAGTCTCCTAAAACTAAGTCCAGCTTTCTGACGAGTTCTTAGTTAACACTTCCATTTAACAGGGAAAAAAACCCACCATAATAGAATTTCATGTATTTTCAAAAGCTGGCACATGTACACCCTTAGAATAACCTTTATATATACTCATGTTTTACAATGTGCAAGTCACAGGCATGTGTAATACTGACAATTCAAGTTGGAAAATGCATTTCAAACTTGAGCTCTCTGCAGTCACCTACAGATCAAGTTTGAACCACTGACTGTCTTGTGCTATCATGTTGGGGCTCTACAGGCCAATTCCCCTAGCATAAAGCTGTACAAGCATCACATGCTATTTTAGAAGCATTATTCCTCCCCCCCCCCCCCCCCCAATGTATTTAACTATACATAAGGAAATGTTTTTACATATGTGTCATAACTCTAACAATACTAAAATTAAATTGACCCCAATATGCTCAACAGGTGCAATACAAACAGAATACAAGGTGGAGTGGGGAAAAAAACCAGGGAACAGCGTAACTTGTACTTACTCCTTCAGCTATTTCAAAGAGTGGAACAAGTTTGCTTTTACAGCTTGAAACAACTATTTTATCACCAGCAGCAGAAGCAGTGGCCAGGTATCTATCTTAGTCACAAGTTAAGGACCATAATTGTGTTATACTGGTGATTAACAAAAGCAACAGTGAGTTTCCCTTACTGAAGATAGATTGGCTAAACAGTCTAAACTACAGTACCTTGAAGGGACCTAGAAATAGAAACATAAGGCTATTTTCCAAGATTTCATTAAGAAGCTCTTGCATTAACTACAGTTCTTACTTCCCAGTAAAAGGCAGAGCATTTCTTTCAGAGGTAAGTATTTGACAGGTATTATTTAAGAGTTCTTTAACACAGCTTATCCAGCCTACATTTTTGTTTCCCCACCACCCCCAAGAGCCCCACTTATCACCAGAGTTCAAAGGAATGTCTAGCAGAGTATGGATTTAAAGAACAGTCCTGTTTGTAGTCTAGAAACTATGCGGTTTGTCACAATGACTGCTTGCTAATTTGTCTCCCTCTGTACTGAGGGAAGAAAAACAAAAACCCAAAAAGAACCTTTTATAACACCAAGTACTTCAAAGTAGTATCAAAAGCCTTCAGTATAAAGCTACAGACCAGGGAATCTGCCCCTGCATCCCCACCAAACAAATCAAGTAATCATTTAGATCAGTGTCCCATATGTCTTCAGGCCAATGCCCATAGTGATTTTTTTATTTGCTTATTTAAGAATATACAGGTTAATTGGCTGGATTTAACACCAAAGAACTGGTAGGCAGATTAGTGCTTCCTATTGCTTTCATTGTTTTAAGGCAGAAGCTTACAGAATTATACAGAATCAAACCCAGTACTTTACTTCTAACAAATTTACAAACATTCAAAAGCATATGGAGTAAGATGAAGTTTATTAAACAACACATATAAGTATATACATATAAGCATTGTATCTGTGCTTCAATTTCTCTGCAAGCTCCATATCCAAAACATTCATTAGATCTCTGATTGCTTTAACTTTTTTTTCCAGATATCCACTTATTTGCAGACTTAGAGGACAGACATTCAGAACCTACAGGACTTAATTGTTACGTGCCAGCATCCCGTCCTTTTACATCAAGATCAGGCACTGCCACCTTTTCCCATGACAGCTAAGCAAGCTGTTCACCTGACAACACCATTTGCATTACTCATATATTCACCTGGCACCTTGTATCATCATCCTATAGTAGGCCTCCAAGACTGAGGTGAAAGGTCTGAATGGACCAGATCCATTCTCGCACATAAATTACCACCATCCTATGAGTGTTTTCCTGCACATTCAATACATTTGTGCTTTCTCTGTAAATGCTACTAACAGTACAAAAAAAGTCAGTGCCTACAGAGTAAATGGTAAGTATATGCTATCAAAGCCTATCAGAATCAATGAGAAGCTGTTCAAGACAAAACAAACAAACAAACAAAATCTTTCATTACAATTTTCCTTTCTACATTATGAACAGAATTTTACTACACTAGCAATTGCTTTGTTCAACCTTGTCAGTAAATTAAGCATTGTGTTGGAAGCGAGTATTGTAATCAACTACTGAAGAAACAAATGAGTAAGCTTTATAGTTGGTAGGCAAGTCAAGCATATCATAATCATTAAAAAAGTGTTAGCCTCCTAAAGGAAGAGAAACTTCTTTAGAAGCATTTACCAGCATGAGTTGATTTTGTAAATCACTTCAACACAGAGAACTACAAAATTTTCTTGACAATATACACAAATCTTTTCATACAAGACTCAAAATCACATCAGGCCTGTGATTTACAGACACTTTTACAAATGTAATAAATAAATTACTGAAATTTTGCAGACCACTCACAAAACCATGGTTCAAACCGTAAAGGATACTATTGCTGGCCCAACAGAGTGAGCTGACTGGATGTGTGGTTGTGTGTGGGTTGAACTGCTCCACCACAGTTAGAGATGAGGAATCCCAAATTTTAATGTCATCTCCTGATGAAGCAAAACGTATGCTTTCTTGCATGGCTGCACCTGTTTTTCAAAAATAAACTAAAAAATTAAAATATATATTTATATAAAGTAAAAATATTCAACAAGCAACTTTGGAAGTCAAAAATATTTTCATCTATACCATTTAATACCATTTTCTTGATAACACGAACGTTTACTTGGAGTTACACAATTAGTACCACTCAGCCGAATATATTACTGAAAGCAGCAGACACTCCACACTCTTGTTACTTGAACTCTTGCAAAAAAAATTATGCTTTCCTTTTCACAAAGGAAAAGCTATCCCCTCCGGGGCATCATCAAGAGACTAGAATGACGCTCCTCTCTCCACAGTTTACAGCCGCCAGGCACGAAGCCGCGAGTAGTTCAAAGCCTCATTTCCCACCAGTAGATGGAGATATACAAACTAGAATCAAACCAGCTGTTGCAGGGGAAGGATAGAAGTTCGGACCTAAAGGACTCACTTCAGCGTTCATCTCACTGCCCTGAAGGACACACCCGAGAATCCTTTAAACCAAACTTTTAACGATCTTATACGAGCGACAACAATCACATTCCAACGCAGCTTACACAACGTTATAAAACAAAAAGACCAACAACAACGTGCTACTACTTGTTTAGATTAACGCTATGTTAAGAGTTAAAAAGCAGATTCCAGGTCTGTAAAGTTCACACTCAGCTTCTCACTCTGAGTAATTTTAAACTAGCAATAAACACGAACGCAAAGGTAAGCCTCTCCTTCACCTGAGAGCATTACCACCCTTTAGACAAAGGTTTCCGGGATGTTTATACATAGCTTTAGGCCACTAATTCTCACTGCCGAGAATGATACACAACACAGACAACGTTACTAAGGAAACTCAAGCGCCCATAACCGCCCGCGCTCGGCCGCTGCCCAAGGCATCAGCCCGCGGAGCTGCGCCTCGTTCCGTCGCTGCTGCTCCCACCTCGCATAGGGCTTCTCTCCCCGCTCAGCACCTTCAGCCCCGGAGGCCG